TAAAGATATCTATAGTTATAGGTGCAAATGTAGATGTTTTTAAGTCTACTCATATCTAATTGAACTAAAATCCACTTATATATGACAAGTTTTAAAATTGTAGTTTATATTTTTCTTATATTTATTCTATATATAATTAAATTTATTATAATTTTATTTTTATGTATGCATTTAATAGTATTATAATTTTAGTTTTATTTAATTTTATGATTTTAAACAGTGAGGGCACATTACTTCTTTGAAAATAGTTTAGGGGTAAAAATTTACTTTAACTCATGAAAAGTGGGTCCAACTAATTACAGTAACAGACATTTAAATGGTAAGGGCAACATTGTTCTGATTTGATTAGTTTAGGGGCAACATTGCTACAATAAATAGTTTAGAAGAACATTACATCTCCTCCAAGAATAGTTTAAGGGCAAAATTGCACCTCAACCCTTTATGAAAGCACAAGCTATAGTCATTTTTATTTGCTATATAGTAAGAACGTGATGGAATATGAGATAATGATTAATTAAGATAATTAAAATTTATTTAAGATACTAGGATTATCCATTAGGGATATTTGAAAAAAAATTTTATTCATTATAATCAGGAGTTATTTTTTTATTTTATTGTTATCCTAGATATTAGTATTTTTAATATTAGATTTAGATTTAGGATTTGAGATTTGAATTTAAGTTTTTATTATTTTATTATTTTTAGAGCTTTATAAATAGAGTTAGGATTTTTATTTGTATTCAGCTTTTGAGTATTATTGAATAAGAGTTTTTGAAAGTTTCGGCCTTCTCCCTCTTTCTTTCTCTCGCTCCTTCCTCCTTCTTTTTTTCTCTGTTTCTCTTCTCCTTCTTGTTTTACATTAATTTGGTACCAAAGTTAGATTTCTATCACACTTTTGTTGCTAATCTCACTTAAAAAGTATAACTCTTTCATTAAAATTGAGAGGTTCAAATAAGGTATAATGAATTCATTATTCAACACTGCTGATTGGAATACTTTCATCACTTTCTACAAGTTTGCTCACTGTTAAATTTTAGAGGTTTGCAATTTTTTCATACTTTTGCAGCATTTTGAGTCATTTTTATTTTTTATTGATATGAGATTTTTGCATTCCAAAAAAAAAGAGGAAAAAAGGAGGAAAAAAGGAAAAAAGAAAGAAAAAAGAAAAAAAAAAACATTATGATGCTTAGTTGCTAATTGAGTTATAACATATACACACATTTAAAGTTATTAGTATGAATATGCCGATCTACCACAATACGCTCAATAGTGAAAGGATTACATTCAACAGTACACACGTAATGAATATCAACAACAATATGCCTATTCATCATGAAATATTTATTGGCAAGATAACTATTGGTATGATTATGAAGAGCAATCATATGAGTACACAAGCCATCAACAGTATGAGCATACTTATTGTGACAATTATGAGCATCGCTATCTCCAGTTGAAGTGTGCTAATCATAAGCGATATGAGTATGAAGATCAATATCGGTATGAGCACATTGAGTAATGACAACATGAGCATCTTAATAGCCATCAACATGATTATGTTTATTAATATGAGGATAGTACCTATTGTTATTATGAATATACTGACTTTCAAGAGAACATAGACCAAATTATGGTTAAACTGGATCGCTTTCCACAAGAACAGAATTGTTATTTTGACAAGTTTAGGAGAGATTGTGGTGAAGCTAACAGGGCAACATATAAGATTAAGATGATGATCAATTAGTTGACGAAACAAATGAAAGAACAAACACCAAGTGAGCCAATAATGGCAAAAGTTCCTTCCTTGCTAGTAGAAGATTCTCTAAATAATGATTAAGTGGCCCACTATACATCAGTACAAGTGGCTTTTCTCAAATTGTTTCTAACAAAATCAATCTTATCATGTTTATATTATTCTTTGTCCGCAAGTTGCATCTCTCAAAGCCACTTCATTGCTTAATGGTTAAATCCAACAACACTCTGTCTATTGAAAATATCTTCTAAAGATTTTGCACAGTCAAACATACTCATTATTGCAAGAGTTTTGTTCTTTCACTATCTCATTTGTTGAAAATGATTTTTAGATCTATGCACATGGATGAAGTTTTATCTCGCCCATCCCTCCCTACAAATTGGTGCGACAAGTTCTTTAAGCAGGGAAAGAAATGATGGAATATAAAATAATGATTAATTAAAATAATAAAATTTATTTAAGATATTAGAATTATCCATTAGGAATATTTGAAAAAGAATTTTATTCATTATAATCAAAAGTTATTATTTATTTTATTGTTACCTTAGATATTACTATTTTTAATATTAGATTTAAATTTAAAATTTGAGATTTGAATTTAAATTTTATTATTTTATTATTTTTAGAGCTTTATAAATGGAGTTAAATTTTTCATTTGTATTTAATTTTTAAATATTATTAAATAAGAGTTTTTAAGAGTTTTAACCTTTCTCTTTTTCTTTTTCTCTCCCTCCTCCTTTTCTCTCTCTGTCCCCCTCTCCTTTCTTGTTTTACATCAGAACTCTTTACAAAAACCTACAGGTCAGTCAAGGTTGACGTTGGAAACACAGAAGGCTAGGCACAATCATCCTTCATGGAGCTGCTTTGTCCAGTCAAAGGGCTCCCACTCTTTCAAGAGGTTGGCAACGGCTTGTTTTTGTACTTCCACCGCGTCGTGGCGGTGGCCCGGTACATGTCTTCGTCGGCTAGATGCTGCATTCCTCTGATGACATTGAGACCAAGGTTGCTGTTGAACTGCTGCTCATCATCAATAACATGCACAAAACCCTTGTTCAGTCCAAAGTCAACTTTTTATCAATGACCTTCTTGGCGTCGTGCTGGCTCCACTCATCTTCAGGTTCATCAATTGCCTGTGGTGACATCAATTTAAACGATGATTGATCAAAATAAATAAGAATCAAATAATATAGCAAGTACAAAATGAATTCCCATTGAACAAAATACTGCCATTTTGTAGTGTCATTTCTTGAAGAAGATTTGTTGTTGTATTTACATGAAATAGCATATATATATAGTTTTGCAGTGTCAACAAATAGTAGCAACGAATAACCAAAGGTGCAAACTAAATACAACAGAGACATTTTGCAGAAAGCAATAAAATAATAATCTTGAGTATAATCCAACACAAGCTAACAACAAAATATATCATCGCAGAACATATATAGAAACATAAAAATTAGATTCTAACAGTACTAAAGGGCTTTTGATCACAGATAGCAGTATCAACCCCACTTTTAACAACAAATACCATATAGAACATGAAGATACTCTACAATGGAAGACTTATCAATGACAGAGTCAGCCCTAGTGTCAGCATTAAGTACTAGACAAAAGAATATTTTATTTGAAATATTACCTTCTTAAAGTATAAAGGAGCCGATTTGGCAATATCTTGGGGTAAAGGAATGCATTCAATCATACAATGACGACGCTGTTGAGCCCATCCCATCACAGTTTCAATAAAAACCACTTCCTTCCTTTGCTTTGCAAAATCATAATGAGGCATTTCTTGAAGTTCCGAATTTCAGTCCAAACATTGTCATCCACAGTTCTTGTAGCTGATTCATGCTGTCAAGTAACAGGTAGCAGATAAGTACAAAATGTTAGAGTTGAATTGAAAGGTAAAAATTATACTAATAATAGTAATCACAGCCTGCAGTCCAGATCCACAAGCTCAAAGATCAGTTCATGATATTTCAATTGCCATTGCATTTTAGAAGGCCAAAAAAGAAAATTTAAACGTCAGTTTATACTTTGATGCTGCTTTCAATTTTCCAAAGACATGCAATATTACTACATGGAATCTCGACAGCCTTAAGCAGATGCCAAATAAATTCTAGTTCCTCCTCTCTAAAATCCTATCTAAGACTTTCCTCCTACCCCACTGTTTATGAAGAGTTCAAATCCTATCTAAAGTCATTGTTAAGTGTTAAAGGTATTTTATTCCAGGCGATTGTTTCAAGTAAAAAGGCTAAGGTGCTTTAAGCTCACCTGAGTCGGTAAAATACAACAGTGGCCAGGAAACACTGGCTGCCACCTTGTGAATGTCAGATATGTGCAATTGGCGATTGAAACAAGAAGATCCAGAGGACGAAAACAAGAGACGCAACGGTCTTTCTGGGTCAAAATCTGAGGTTTCTTTTGAGCCATCATGTCTTGATCTCTCTTCTTTCGGCTCTTTCTGCTTTCACCATCTCCATACTCATCTGCCAGATTAGAAATTTTGACTCGCTTGCTCTGCATAATCATGCGTGCAAGATGCATATCAGCATCGTCCTCTCCTTTTTCCTGCTGAAAAGATATGCTCTTCTTGGCACACCTTAAAGAAAATGAGGAGGGTCAATGACACAGCATTTTAAGAACTGATAGTAATTTACAGGAAACAAACAGCTACCTCGCAAACAAAGAACAAACATGTTGAGCAACGTAGGGACTTGAATAGAAGAAAAAATAAATAAACAGAAACAATCAATTAGATAACAAAAATAAGAATATGCTCTGTAACTATTCAGGAATGATTACTGCAAATATATTCAGAATTAAGGGAATTATATAAGATAGAAATAGAGTTCCAAAAATAGGGAAATACCTGCTTGAACTTGCTTCAATTCTTCTTGGCCTGATTACGTCATCTTGATTCTCCTTTGCACACGACTGGAAGATTAGCAGAAAAGATTGTTGGCCATGAATAACTCCACACTATTTGGTAAGTTTAAAAGAAATAAATAAATGAACTAACTATGAACGTATAAGCATTGTACCAAAAGGTTTTTTTTTAAGAGAAAAAAAAGCCTAATTCTTAAAGGAAACTGTTTCTCAACTTGCCGAAAATTCATCAGCTTCTTCATGGTTTCCCTTTAAACGTAACTGCGAAGCCTTCGCTGCCAATTGATTTGCGCTCATCCCATCGTTTCCATTTCGCAGAAAAGAAGAAATGTTACGAGGGATAGTCCCTGAATCTTCAGCTGTAACAGCTTGCCTCTTTCGCTTGCCCCAATACAAAGAATCATCAATTTTTGGTGGCTTCATTTTCTCGCGCCAAAAGTAATCGTCCCAGAATTTCCCGGTTCAGTAGCCTCTAGAGGAAATGAGGAATTTATAAACTCGATTCAGAAAAATAATACCTGGTCGTTTAAAAATATAAAATATTTTTAATTAAATTTTATTTTAATAAAATAATTATTTATTTTTAAATTAATTTTATTTTTTTATATTTATTCTTATTAAATATTCTATAATAAATATAAAATTATTATCAATAGAGACTCTTAAAAAAGGTAATAATTATACTTTAAAAAATTAAAAATATCTTATATTTTTTAATATTTAACTCCTAAAAAAATATCTTACATTTTTAAACAGGAGCATGTTAATTCATCAATAAACTGTTTTCAAAAGTTAATTTTTAAAAAATTTTAAATTTAAATTGACTTATGCATTTAAGTGAATAGATTATATTTCAGATATCTTTTAGGTTTCAGATCAGACATACAGCCCATTTATTTATCATTAAAATTAAATAATTTCTAGATAGTTAAGAGATTTTATAAAATCCAGATATTTATATTATATTTAATTACAATAATAAAAATTGATTATTATGTTCATGAAAAATTTATTGTTATTTAATTATTTTAGATTTTATGTTATATTCACTAAGCTTTATTTATAAAAATAATTTATTATTTAATTTTTTATAATGTTATAATATTTATGTGAATTTTGGCATCAGATTTTTTTTTTTCAGAAGCCATCCAAAGTAACTTTTTAAAATAATCAAAAATATGTTTTTTTTAACTTTGATTCTAATTATTTTTAAAATTTTAAACAAACAAATAATTTCACAAAATAGATTTTTTTGAAAAATAATAAATTTTTTCATAAAAGAGCTTAAATAAATGGGTTTATAATAAACTTTTAAAATTGATTACTTGAAATTCATTACTTACAAGTTGATTGAAAAAAAATTGATGTTATTATCAATTTATTTGTTAAATATTATATTTAAACTTTTGAATAAAATCATAATACTGAAGTAGTTAGCTATATATAATTTTTATAGATATTTTGGGCCTACAAGAATTTTATAAATTTAATATTAAATGTAAATATAAGGATACATTTGATTGTTTTTGGGCTGAAAATATTGCCTAAAAAAGTAACTTTGAAAAGAAATTAATTTGCAAGTCTTTCTAGCTTTCATCGATTTTAATTTGATCCTAGAAATTCATTTTATTTTAATCAGGTCTTTATAATTGGATGAATTAAATAAATTAGTCCTTAAAATTTAAATTTCTTAATGAGTGATTAACTTTTAAAGAACAAAAAATAATTTAAAATTTAAAAAAATGATTCAATATTTTTGGTCAAAAATTTGACCAAATAACTACTTTTGATAAAAAAAATTAACTTAATACAATGCTTACATTTTTATTGATTTTTCATAAAAAAATTCTATATAAAATTTATTTAGAAAAAATAAATTATTTTTATAAATTTTGAATTATAAAATTTATGTAATTAATTCTAAAGCTATATAATCTTTTGATAAAAATATAAAAGTTTTTAATTTCATTTTAAAAAAAATTCAAGAATTTAAGCATAAAAATTGACGTATTTAATTGGTCAAACTAAAAGAAACTGATCAAAATAAAATAAATAAAATAAAATAAAATACAGGGACTCAATTTAAAATTAAAAAAATATTAATTGCAGATTAACTTCCCTTATATTTTTTTTAAGCTTGAAAAATTATATTTTGCTCTTGATTTTTCAATTTGTAAATTATTTTAAAATATTTTAATGACTTATGATTTTACAGTTAAAATTTAGTGTGAATGATTTATAGTTATAGTAAAAGTGCAGTGGAGAAAAATAAATCTGTTTACTACACACATGAAAAATTGTCACCTACATACATTATATTATATACTCCCTCCATTAAAAAATGTAAAGCATTATTTGACGAGTTGGATGTTTAAAAATGTAAGAAATTTTCAGTCTTTTGATGTGTAATCATTGCCTTTATTTCAAAAAGTTTTTCTATTAATAATGACTTTATATTTATTGTAAAGTGTTTAATAGAGGTAAATATAAAAAGATAAAGTTAATTTGAAAGTAAATAACTATTTTATTAGAGGGTGAGATTTGATTATAAATGCCTTATATTTTTTAATGGAGGGAGTACTCTATTAGGAAGAAACAAGATGTGGTATGGGAAGTCTAAAGTAAACAAGTTTTTGTCTTATTAATGTAAAATTAACAATTTTTATTATTAATGTAAAATTAACTATTATTTGATCTTTATTCCTTACAATTCAATTCATGAAGGCCTGGCTTGAAAAAAGTGATAATTTAGGATAAAAAAGCTTATGAGTTAGGGCTCTTAAAAACCGATCCTATAAGAATTAGATGGAGTTTTATTGGTAACTCTAAACACACCTTACATATATACATTTCCCTCCTTGTTATATTATCTTTTTCTTTAAAAAATTTAAAGGAAAAGTAATTTTAAAAAATTATATATTTGTTTTCAAAAAAATAAAATTATAAAGTATATTTAATAAATTTTATTAATATATGTAATTTTATTTAAAAGTATTTTATATAAAACTAGGACTGAGGAAGCATATTTTACAGTCTGCTGCATGGTGGACTACCCATCTGATATATTAGAAGTAGTGCCAACCTGGAAAATAGGAATCACATTTGCACTTTGGTCTCCTTTTTTTTTTTTTTAAGAGAAAAACTAAATGCGAAGAATGAAATTTGCAATAGCCTTGGGTTCTGTCATAGATCTATAGCAACTGAAATGGCAAATTAATGGGAAGTATAACGAATCGTGCAAAGCTAAGGTTCAGCATCTCATCTCAGTAAGTACAAAACCATGTCGAAAAAGTGGGAAAAATTAATTAAGATAAGTATGAATTTTCACCAATAATCTCCACAGGAACATGAACCATCATTGAAGTGATGAAACCTGGCTCTATCCCTAACAATAATTTCCCTATCAAATGCTTTAGAAATAAATTTAATAAACGTATGACAATCATTACAAACCCTCAAATTCTTCATTATTCGTAAACAAGATTTTGGTGGTGTTTTTACCAACCCAAAGGCAATTGCCAACTTCTCACTATGTTTAGAAACTGAACTTCCCAAACTCACTTCGGTACTAAATAAAGGATATGTGTCAATAACCTCTTCCTCTTGTACATAGCCAAGTAAAGCAGCCTGATGGATCATTTCCTCCAGTTTCGCATAAATTTTGCAAGAATCTGGGTGTGAATTATCATTCACAACAAACTTGTAAATTTCATCTTCCACCTCAATCCAGCTCCAGGCCACAGTGGTCTTTATTCCTTGGTTTTGCATCATTTTTCTCACTCGAGAAATCCCTTCTGTATCCTTAGCTCCAGCGTATAATGTGGCCATTAGCAGAAAATCGCCAGCATTTGGCACTCCAACTCGGACCAGATTGCTCATGGCAATTTCTCCAATAGTCACATTTCTATGAATCTTGCAAGAGCTGAGTAATGTCCGCCAAAGCACCGGAGCATCAAAGAAAGAAGTTTTTATAAGCCCAAGTGCCTCATCAAGTTTTCCTGCTCGTCCAAAAAGATCCACCATGCAACCGTAATGCTTGACTTCTGGTTTCAGCTTGAAGTCAGAGCTCATCAAATGGAAATATTGAATGCCCTCCTTAACTAAACCCTGGTGACTACATCCACATAATAAACCAAGAAATGTGATCGAGTTTGGCTGGACTCCTCCCACTAACATCTGCTTAAAAAGTGATATTGCTTTCTCTCCGTGACCATGAACTCCATAGCCAACAATCATTGAGTTCCAAGTAAACACATCCTTCTTCTTCATCTTGTTGAAGATAGAAAGTGCACTATCTAAGCATCCACATTTTGCATACATATCAATAAGAGCATTGGCAACATAAATGTCATTCATAAAACCCTTTCTACGAGCAAATTTGTGCATTTGAATCCCAATATTCATAGCTCCAATATGAGCACATGATGCAGCCAAGCCAACAAGTGTAAAACCATCCAAGCCAACATTCTTATCTCGCATTTGATTGTACAATGTCAAAGCATCTTGATGAAAACCTGCTTGAGAATAGCATGATATCATACAATTCCAAGAAATCAAATCTCTGTTAGACATATCATCAAAAACTCTTCGTGCACTCTCAATCAATTCATTCCCTGCATATGATCTCATCAGATTAGTACAAACAATAACATCTCTCTCGTACCCTTGTTGGATTATAGATCCATGAACCTCTCTACATTTCTTTTCATCCTTAATCTTCTCGCAAGCCTTGAGAACAAATGAGAAAATATAGCTGTTAGGTCGAGAAACTGAAGCAGAAACCATGGCATTGTAGTAAAGAAGTGCTTGGTGAGGTGATGAGCCCTGTGCAAAGCCTCTGATAATGGAGTTCCATGATTCAGTTGAAGGGTTGTCCATATGATGGAATAGATGTAGAGCATAAGACATGGAACCTGCAACTGAGACAGCACAAAAGTTCAGGAGTCTGTTGGAAATAGTAACATGGTGTTGGAGTCCACTAATAATGACATAGGCATGGATCTTTTTAAGCCTTTTGATGTTATTGCATCCTTGTAAGATGGTAAGGATAGTACTAGGCTTTGGGCTATGACATTTAGCATATTGTTGTCAAGACCCAGTTGCTGCAATTATAGGAAATCTTCATACTTCATTAAAAAAGCCACCAATTTTGATTTTCAACTGCATTCAGCAAGAAAAATGCAATCAATAACAATAGAGGCTCAAAATTCCATGAACTAACATTCATCACATGCGTATCCTAAACTGAATTGATATCTGATCTCAGAAAAGATAATTAAAGATGATATCCTATTTTTTTCCATAAGTAAATATACATTCAAAGGTATTCAATTATATCAGACAAAAATTAGCCAAAAAGCATATATAAGAAAATAACAATATCATAAGAGTAGAAACCCAATAAGGTTCAAATACCATGCTAGGAAAATCAGTAACATTTCAATTACTAGATTAATAGGCTTAACAAAATGCTTAAGATTTCCAACAAATTGTTAGCAAAGCATGATAGTTAAAATCTGACATAGACCCTGTTAAGCAAGCAACATTCATCATAATATTTGACATCCCCAATATTCAGTCTTATTCTGAAGGGTCTGGGAAGGAAGTTGGAAGATAGGAGGACCGTGGAGCAGTTCTTATATGGTGGTTTTATGGACAGTTAGGCAGCATAGAAGTGCTACCCTTATATGAGTGGGTTTTGGCAAATTCTGTGGTTCTGTTGCATAGAGATTCAAAAAGAGGAAAGAATCAGAGTGAACAGTGATTTGAAATTCTGGCAATCTAGCCTTCTAAATGGATAGAAACTTTTTACGTAGCTGGTTTTTCTCGTGTTACAACTATAATTTTAAGGCGAAAAACAATACTTATCACAAATGACCAAACATATAAAAGAAAAGGGTAGAGGAATCTATATTATGGCTAAATAAAGAGAAATTTATCTCTCATAACAGAGAGAGTTAGGGAGATTAACATGGCCAAAGGAATGGCCAACCAAAAATTGCTATTAAGAGTTCACATTTCCCAAGGCCTATGAACCTCCTAAACTATCAGCTCACAAACTCTAAAAATCGCTATCATAACCAGCAACTGTTCAATTTAATCACTAGAAAAGCACACAACATACAAATAGTTCAAATAAAAATATGTCAAAAGTGCTGTGCTAAGTTTAAAGTACTCTGTAAGTTGCATTCAGAACTCATAATGCTCCAAACATCTCTCCTTAAGATTGGAAGAGAGAAATGGCATCGTTATACCTTGCACAATACACGGCGACAATGATGGCGTTGCAAATAAGGATACAGGGGCGTGTGCTGAAGAAAACAGAATGACTCTTGACTGAAAAAGGGGTAGCTCGATGCATGGACAACGCTTACGACGGAGGCGGGTCGCTTTTCAGCGGAGGAAAGTGCAAATGAATGATATTGTAAGAGTTGGCCGGTCATGCCGCTGTTCTCATTCGAGAGATATAAGGAGCAAAGCTCTGGCTTGTGAGGTCAGGTCTTCTCTTCAGGCCAGAGAAAAATAAGTTAAAGTCAGGCCCAAGCCAAACATCTCCATTTAAATAACCTGAAGTTCTACACATTGTTTTAACACTGGACCTCATCACGCAATCTTACTCTAAAACATAAAGCAATAAGAATATATCTTTTTAACAGCATTTTGAAGCCAGCAACAGTTTCAATCAGAACTAATGTGCAAGAATTATATACAACCTGAAATTCTGAGTAGCCATTTGAAACGAACAGCAATTTAAACAGGGACACGCGAAAGAAATTGATTATGTTAAAGGATGGAAAGCTTACCCGAGGCCGAACACTAACTCAAATCTGCCAGAAGCCAACAACGGAGGCATACACGAAGCTTACCCGAACACAAGGCGAACTGCAGATAGGAAGAACAGAGCGACGCGGAGACTGGAAAGAGGAGAGCAGCAGACCGCGGACGTGTGGTGGATACTGAAAAGCACTACGGCGGCGACGGTGCAGGGCTCAGGCAAGGCGGAGAGCGAGGGACAATGAGTCCGGACTCCGGAAGCTAGGAGAGGGCTGTGGCGCACTGCTATGCCAACGCGCCCAGGGAGGGTTTTGGTTTTGGTTTTGGAATGCTGAAATTGGAACCGCAAAACAGTTTAAATGTTTAATGTTTAATAATTGATATTTAATTCCCTCCTTCCTGTTAAGTATGTTTTTTTAATATTTTTGGTAAGATCCTGCAAACTATTTTTCACAATTAAATTTTACTACTTTTCAAAATTTAATTAAAACTAAAGTATTTAATCCGGGATGATGAAAATATTATTAATTAAATTTAAAAAATATATTCCTCCGTTCAAAAATATAAGACATTTTTTAAGGAGTTTGATGTTAAACAATGTAAAATATTTTTAGTTTTTTTATGTATAATTATTGTCTTTTTTTCAAAAGTACTCCTACTAATAATAACTTTATATTTATTATAGGTATTTAATAGGAATAAATATGAAAAGAAAGGGTTACTTTAAAAGTAGGTAATTATTTTATTAAAGAATAAAATTTAGTTAAAAATATTTTATATTTTTAAATGAATGAGTACATATTTTAGAGGTGAGAATGGAATGGACGAACAAGCCCAAAGCCTTACCTATATATGGGGCCAATTTTGTTTGTGGAATTAATTGAGAGAATGACAAAAAATTTTAAAAGGATTAATCAATTTAAATTAAGTTTTAAGTGTTAAACTTTATAAATTTTTAAATTTATCTTTCAATTTTGTAAGTGTTATGATGAATTTATAACTTAATTTTTAAATTTTAATATAATTAAAGAATAAAAAATTCAATTAAAATTTAAAATATAAGTTATATATTTATCGAATGAAGTTACAAAATTAAGATATTAAATTATAAATTTTTTAAAATTTAATAATTAAAATTTAATTTAAATTAATTAATTTTTTTTAAGACTTTTCTATCACTCTCTTGAATTAATTTAGTTTTTGTTATTGTTTTTGACCCACCGGCCTAGCCCAATGTAACTAGGCAAAATTTGGTGCCCAGGACATTAAGCACGGTGCACTTGTGAAATATATATATATATATATATTAGATATTAAAATATATTTTTAACTTTTTAATTTTAATATAGCCTCTTAATTTTGTAAAGTATTTTTTAATTTTTAAGCCAAACATCATTAGTTTAAATAATTATTTTTTATATCAAATATTATTTAATTCTAGTATTTAATTATGAGTAAACTACTGTTTTTTAATTGTTTTTTTCTTTAACTTTGTATATTGTTTAACTACTACATAGAATGAGCATTCACTTTAGTTTATTTTAATTTTTAACTAAGTCTTATATGAATAATAACTAAATAATTATTCAAGAATATTGTCTTATTTATTATATTTGTCTAGTAGTAAAGTCGAGAATTCATACATGCCCAAATGTTATTTTTAAAATTATTTTTAATTTAATTTTTATTTTAAATTAATTATCTTATTTTATAATATATTTTTTTAGATACCCAAATGATGTATGGGACTCAACTTTTTTAAAAAAAAATAAGTGGGGCTTAAAATATAAAAATCAATATTAAAACATATTTTAAATATTATTTTAAGATATTTTATTGATTAAAAATAATAAAATATAAATATTTTTAATTTTTTTAAAAAGCTATAGTAATGCATTTAAATAAATAGTATTTAAATATAAAATGATATGAAACTTAATAAATTAATTAATATTTATTATATATTTTTTAAAAATATTATTTTTTTATTTGGGTATTTCGATCAGGCTTGGCCCAAATTTTGTTAAGCCTATGGGTCGGATAGAATGGGCCTAAACATTTCTAAAAAAATTTTGGGCCCAACCTTAAATATTTTGAATGGACTCAAACTAGTCCGTTGAACTTGTTCAAATTATTGATTTTGGAATTAATTAGGATCCTTAGATTGCCTCAGCGTTTTTTTAATCCCATTTTACAATTCCCCATACCACTTTTACAAATCAATTCACCAAATTGGCTTGTTCTTGTTAAATATAAAGAATGCCTATGAACAAATGCAAGATGAATAATAATTCCACAGCAGATTAAATATATTTTTTTGTTTCAAAATATAAGACAATTTGAGAGATTTGAAATTTCATTAATAATACTTTTTTAATATTATTCTTCAAGTGGGGAGAGAATTAAAATTGTATTTTTTATAAAAGAGAATTGAAATAATATTATAGTGTAATGATTAACTTTGTAGGGACATTTTTGAAAGTTTATAGTTTTATTTTGAAAAAAATAAATTTATAAATAATAGAACAGAAAGGAAATGAATAATTTGAGTATTATTTCATACGTTCCTTTTACAATGAATAGTGTGTACATATTTATAGTGTGGTCTGATCAATAAGAGAATGACACATGTTACAAAGGAATTATCTAAAACTTGTGACACTATATGAGAATCATGTGATATCTAATGATGATATTTTCTTCTTCTTGTTATTTGATGTGGAGTCTTTTGCTGATGTGGTAATGGATGTATGCTTATGTGTTTCAACAGGCCCCCACGAGTCAAACTGGAATGGAAGAACAATGAGACTCAACCATAAAGCAGCAAAGCAAGAAGAGGGAAGAGGTTTAGTGAGGATGTTTGCTAATTGATCTTTGGAGGAGACAAGGAGGATGTGGAGCAAGTTGGCTGCCATACATTAACAAACAAAATGATAATCAAGGGAGATGTGTTTAGCTCAAGAGTGGAAGACAGGATTTGCAACTATATAGGTGGCACCTAAGTTGTCACAATAGAGAAATAGTGCTTGAGGCAAGTGAATGCCAAGTTCATACAGGAGACTTTAAAGCCAAATGAGTTCACTAGTAGTGGTAGCAATAGCTTTGTATTTAGCTTCTGTGCTGGATCGTGCAATTGTTGATTGCTTGCTTGAGCTCCAGGCAATGAGATTAGAACCATTGGTAAAAGCTCTTATAAACTGTAGGTCATTCGAATTTCCACCCCAGTTGACATCTAAAAATGCAAAGAGGGTATGTGAAGATAAGGGTTGAATGTGTAAAGCATAATGAGCGGTGCCTTGCAAGTAACAAAGGACTCGTTTGACTATAGTCTAATGGGTTTGCTTTGGGTCATGCATAAATTGACAAACTCTATTTATAGCAAACGTGATATTTGGATGAGTAAAATTGAGATATTGAAGGTTGCCAACAATGCTGTAATAGAGCAGTAGGTCATGAAATGAAGGGTTGTCGTGAGTAGAAAGATGTGTATTAGGTGCCATTGGTGAAGAAACAGGGCAAGTTTTTAAAATTTTAGCCTTGACAAGAAGATCTTGAATATATTTCCATTAGGATAAAACAAGATCGATTGATTAGAGAGCACTTCAACACCCAGAAAATAGTGAAGCTTTCCAAGATCTTTAAGAAGAAAAGATTCACCCAGAGTAGAAATCAATTCTTGAACAGTAATAGTAGAGGAGCCAGTGATTATTATATCATCAACATATACCAATACATACATAGTACAAAAGGTATTAATGCATATAAATAAAGAAGAATCAAACCTAGAGGAACAAAAACCCAATTGTTGAAGTTCAAAACTCAATTGAGCAAACCAAGCACGTGTGGCTTGTTTCAGACCATAGATGGCACGATTTAATTTGCAAACATAGTGAGGATAATTTGGATGGACAAATCTAGGAAGTTGTTGCATGTAAACATTTTCTTGAAGAAACCCATGTAAAAATGCATTTTGAATATCAATTTGTTTGAGAGGCCAACCGTAAGAGACAACAATTGAAAGGATTATTCAAACAGTGAGAGGTTTTACCACTAGAGAGAAGGTGTCAGCAAAATCAATGCTCGGTTGTTAGTGGAAACCTTTAGCCACAAGTCAAGCTTTGCACTGATCAAGACTACCATCAGCGTGAATTTTTTTTCTGAAGATCCATTTGCAGCCCACAACATTCATGGATTTGGAGGGAGGAACCAAGATCCATGTTTGAGTAGAAAGTAAAGCATGAAATTCTTGGCAGAGAGCTTAACACCATTTGAGAAAATGAAGGGCAAAAGTGATTAAAGTTGAGGTTGGTGGTTCAAGACCCGAGGAATGCTGAGCTCAAGGAGGTGGTTCAGAGATAAAGGCATTGGGTAGTGCTTTGGGTTTGAAGATATTGGCAGGGGATCTAGTGATCATAGGATGTTTAGGAGCTTACGGTGGGGTCGGTGCTGGAGAAGATGATGATGAGGTGTTGGAAGGGGAAGATGAGAGAGATGGGACGGTACTGGTGGACTGATGAGAAGTGACAGGATTAGGAGAAGATGGTAGAGTTATTAGGTTTGGGGTGAGTAATGGGCTTAGTGTAGTTGGGCCAGGGAAGTAAGGTAAAATTAAATGGAGCGTAATAGGGGTTGGTGGGCTGTTAGCAACATAAGAGGAGAAGGGGTATTGGGCTTTATAAAAAATAACATCTTTGGAGGTGTAAAGTTAGCTAGTGTGTAAATGGAGACAAAGATAGCCCAAATGGTTGGGAGCATAGTCGAGAAATACACAAGGGAGTGATCGTGGAGCTAATTTGTGAGGTGCATAAGGTTAAAGATTGGGCCAACGTGTAGAGCCAAAAGTTTTCATGATACGGTAGTCTGGTTTTTATAAAAAAAGAAGTTCAAATGGGCTTGAGCCTTGTAGAGATGGACTTAGGAGTCTGTTAATGAGATAGGATGCAGTGGCAAAGGCAAAGGTCCAATAAGTTTGAGGGACAAATGTGTGTGTAAGAAGGGCAAAACCATTCTCAATAATAGTACAATAATGCCTTTCTACTATACCATTCTCTCTGTGTGTGTGTGGACAGGTAATGCAATGGTGAATGCCTAAGGTGATGAGATCGTTGTGCATTGATCGAAATTCTCCACCCTAATCGGATTGAAAAGAATGTATTGTGGAATTAAAACACGTGTGAACAAGTGTATGAAATTGATGAAAAACAAAATGAACTTCATTTTTGGAATAGATAGGATAAAATCAAATATAACGAGAGTAGTCATTAACGAAGGATACACAGTAATGAAAACCAATAGTGGAAATAATTAGGCAAAGACCCTAT